AGTCAACTATTTCATTGTGGTTTTGAGCTAAGTCAACTTACAAAAATGAACATTTCTCACTGGTTTTGGTCCAGAAAGTCCCGTGTCAGACTCTGGCCTTGAAAACTAGAGACTGTTTGTATTGCTTTAATTCATTAAATTGGTGATTTGTTATAGCCAAATTGGAAAATTAATACAGGGTTCATTTTTCTATCCACCTGGATGCCAAGAAAAAGGGGCGATGAGAGGCTTTACCAGAGACAGAGTGGAGAGCAGAGTAGGCAGACTAAGGAAGTGCACTGCTGAGGGGAGCAGTGGGCAGGTCTGGAGAGGTCTGCTGCCCAATGTGGGTCACCTCCAAGCCTGAAGGAGGTGGCTGGTTTGCAGTGCTGAGTCCTAACCCGTTGCGCCCCCAGAGAGGGCCCACAGTTTCATTTCTTGGAAGTATGGCATATGTAATCGCTTGAATAGCCCTAATTCACTCTTGCCTGATTTGGGAGTATTACTCTGTGAGGCTCTTTGAAGCTGATTTACTTCCCTGACTTTAATTCTTATTCTCCTAGAAAAAAAGGGATCCACATTACCTACCACCATTGTTGTATGTGACCTCAAAGGTAACCACCATTAAATTAAGAAAAAAATGGAGTGGGCAGGGCATAAGGGCCAACCTAGAAAATACCAGCTTCCAGGCTTAAATCTGTCCTGATAAGATTTGGTGAGTGTGGTTAGCTGCACACAGAGACTCAAGAGGCAAATAATGACAGAAGTTTACTAAGTTTTTGAGGAATTTGCATTGCCAAAAATAATTCAGTTCTGGCCTCCAGCAAAAGCAGGTGACCTGTTAATCCTCAGTCTTTTCAAGCCAGCACAGCAGGAACTAAGTTGTGACCACAAGGCTAACAAGAGCTGCCCAGAGCCAATGGTCACAGAAGACAGTGGGTACGTGACTATATCTCCAGCATATTCTTGTTCCTTATCACTGGCAACTTGGCTTTAACCAAACAGATAAGAACAATGTTGGTAGAAAAAAAGGAAGATAGAACTGGGTTCCCGAGTGACTGCCTGGAACAGAATTGCCATTGTGGACCCAAGAGAAGTAATCAGGCGGTAATATAACCAGGCAATTTATTCGAGAGTAGAAGTGATGATGGGGGTGCATGACCAAGGGGCATTCCACATTCCATGGGGTGGACCATCAGAGTCGTGACATGGGGGAAAATTTTTTTTTTTTTAAAGATTTATTTGTGCACACAGAACTGGGGTACAGGCCAGAGGCTCAGGGGCGGTGAGAGGCTTCCCCAGAGACAGAGTGGGGAGCAGAACAGGCAAATCAATGAAGTACACTGCTGAGGGGAGCAGCGGGCGGGTCAGGAAAGGTCTGCCGCACCATGTGGTCACCTCTGGGGCAGGCGGGAATCGAACTCATGCTGCAGTGGCTTTAGCTTCTCAGTGCTGTGCTTTAACCTGCTGTGCCACCAGGGAGGGCCCGACATGGGGGAAATTTAAAAGGACAAGTGGGAAAGAGGTCTGTCCTTGTGAACTGTACTTACCAGACTTTTTTTGAAACAAGCACAGTGAGAGGCCAAAGTTCTCTTTCAAGACACCCACCGGAAGCAATAAAATCACCATGTCAATCATTGTGTCCACTGGCCCAAAGGAATGGATGGGCTTTTGGTGTGGTCCACGTGTGTGTGGACCAAGGAAACCAGGTGAGAAGGGAAAGACTGAAATATTAAGTCCTCAAATACTCATTTGAAACAAACCTCTGTCAATGAAATATTGCGCCCTAGCCTCATTCTCAGGCTGTGACACACATCTACATACCCCCACTTCATTCTTACCACTTACTTTCAATAGTCTTTAGGGTCTCTTGTCTACTTGGAGGTAGGAGAAAAGCAGGTTGTAGAATAACCCATGAAGGAAGGGAGATTCATCTGTATGCTAAAGTGTAACACAACCGCTACTAGGAATGAAATCACTGGGCTAAAATCAAGATTGTGAGATCAGCAACGCGGTGCAGCAGGCTGAGCTTGTCTCGTTAGGCCATTTCCTTTCTGAGTCTTAGTTTCAGCATCTTGTGCTAGGGACAGTCGGAGACCACATTGCCCAAAAAGTCCTTAAGGTCACCTATCTTGTCTTTAGACACAGGGCTGCGAGTTGGGGCTATTATCTGGGGATGTTTTTGTTCTTTGTGGTCTTTGAACTGCTGATTCAGTCTGTTTAATTTTCACCCCAAAGTCTCAAGACTGCAGTTAGAGACAAGATGAGTTTGTTTGGCCCAAAGCAGGTTCCATAACACCTGACTTGGAAAGCTTACATCCGACCACTCAGAGGAAAGAGAAATGAACTCATCTCCATTAAGCTGGATTATGCTGGATCTCTGTCTTGTAGAGACCTAGCTACGTGAACGAATGAAATGTCCAAACCGAGACACTGATCCTTCTCCACTAAACTAGTTCCTCCAGGAGACTGCAGTTAATTGCAATTCCAGTCTTCTACTTGTTCAGCCGAAATCCTTGGAGGCACCCCATATCCTAGCCCCTACAGGAGTAAGCCAGGCCTTTGTGTTTGTGATTTTGTGTGGCCTTCCCAGAATGCCAGGTGGCATGTGAGTGTAGTGGCCAGTGTTTTGGTCCTTACAGTCTTAAACTCTTGGCCAAAGACCACCAGGGATGTGTAGATGGACTGGTGGGCGTGGGGGAGTTGTAGCTAGGGAAAACAAGGGAACCACTGGAGTCTCAGGAAAAGAGTGGGAAGAAGAACCTACTTGAGGATTGGGGGGACGGAGGGGGAGTTTAAGGACATTCTAGCTGGGTGCTGTCAGATAGTGGGGCCAATTCTGTCATTGGATATTTCAAGAAATCTTATAAGACATCCAGACGTCTAGGAGGATAAAACTAATTGATAGACGTGGCCACCGTCACTTTAGCCTAGAGCAGCGTCTGCTTGTGGACTGCAAAGTGATCTTGGTTATACCACCTCAGAGTAACCGTGTCTGATGCTGATGTTTCAGGACATTGTTTACGTCCAATATAACCACCCAGCCTGGAGCATGGGTCTCAGTCCCCTGTCACTGAACTGAAGCCAGCTCCAGGAGAGCAGGGAAGCCCCTCAGAGGTGGTGGCGCCCCCTTTCAGAAAGGCTGCTTTCTGCGATTCAGCCCAGGGAAGAGGCAGGACCTCATATTCATTCTGGGTTCTGGCTCCGTCCCCCACTGCTCAGAGCTCTGTGTCTTCAGCTCCATCCCTGCCTGGCCAGTGGGAAACTTGCCCTCATGCCCACATGGGTGAGCCTACAAGCTGGGCCCCCAGAGGTGGAAGCTGCCCTGGCCTGCTTCCACACCACTCCCGCTGTCGGCTCTTTCCTTCCCTTCGCTGTCTTTTCTGTCCTGTCCTCTGACAAGGACCGCCCTGTTCTGAGCTACAGACCTCTCACTCTTTGAGTGTTCTCAGCATTTCTTCCCCAGTTGCAGGAAATGCCTGATGTGGAGGGTGGGTTTGGGGGAGCCCAAGCTGTCCTCTTGACCTGGGGGACCTTTTGTGCCTCCCTCTGGGCTGCCATCTGACATGTGGCACTGCCCAGCGGCTCCCTTCATCACCAAGGCCTCTTGGCTCGCCGGTCACTGCTGATGTTCTAAGCAAACACGAGAATGAGTCACAAGCTGTTCCAGCCTTGAAATGCCAACACTTAAAATGAGAGACACCAACAGGACTTTCCAAATAGCTTTTTGCCATAATCCAGCAAACCAGGCCAAGTGCTTAATTCAGGAACAGTAAATTTATTTATTCTTTTCTTCTGGGGGACAGAGTAAGATATGGGGGATGTCAGGTGTTTACTTTGTGTCCACGATGCCTGAGTTTTTTTTGGCGTGACCTCCACCCACGTGGCGCTCTGCCCCAACTCCCTGTAATGTCTGCCCTGTGCAGTGTTTTACCTGTGGATGTTGGAAAAGGTTATAGTGAATGAGGATCTTTACTTTCCCTCTCTCCTATGCCTGTAAGGTCCCCAAAGAAGTTGCTCAGTTAGCCTCCTTGCTTGCTGCCTCCTGACTGTACCTACTGCAGAGTATGAATCTCCATATATTCCCAGGAGAAGGGAGCAGTGGCTGAAGGAGGTTCCCCGGAAGTGTGAAAGGACCTGACTGTCTTGTAAGACAGGATAGAGAGCAGCTGGCGTTTGGAGTCATGTCCTGAAGCAGGTCAAGATGGTACTGGCCTGAGCGCCGTCTAGCTCAGGGCCCCTAAGAATTCTAGGATGGAGAAATGCAAGGCAAATCTTATATTCTTCTTCTTCTATTTTTTAAAAGATTCTTAGAACAAGAGTGTCGGGTTTATTTTTTATTTATTTTGTAGATGAACTGGGGTGTAGACCCAAGGTGTGGGGGGTAAGGGGATTCACAGAGACAGAGTGGGGTGCAGAACAGGCAGCTCGATGAAGTACACTGCTGAGGGGAGCAGAAGGCGGGACAGAGAGGTCTGCCGTGTCATGTAGTCCACCCCCCTGTCTGGCTGGAGGTGATAGCACTGAGACTCAACCCCTAGGCCACCAAGGAGGCCCAAGGCTGGTATTCTTTTTTTTTTTTAATTTATTTATGCACACAGAAATGGGGTACAGGCCAGAGGTGCAGGAGTGGTGAGAGGATTCACCAGAGACAGAGTGGGGAGCAGAACAGGCAGATCAATAAAGTACACTGCTGGTACAGAGCTCTGCTGTGCCATGTGGTCACCTCTGGGGCGGGGATGGAACTCATGCAGAAGTGGCTTTAGCTTCTGAGTGCTGTGCTTTAACCCACTGCGCCACCAGGGAGGGCCAAGACTGGTATTCTTATAACTTTTCAAGTCTCTAAAAAGTAGCCAAAGGGCAAGCAGCGCTCAAAGGCTCTGAGAATGACTAAAAGGTGGACACTAAGCTCAGGAAAGGTTCTGAAAAGCTGGAACTGAATCAAGGGTGCAGGCCTAGGGATCCCCTCATGCACTACACCCCCTGTCAGGCCCACAGCCTCACACACACAGGAGGCAGCATTGCGGGGCTAATCATTTATTGGTGGTAGAGAGGGAGATCTCAATGGTGGCAGTCTTCTCCTGCATATGGCCCAGAAAATAAAAATTTGGAGAAAACCTCTGATTCTCGGTGAGCTGATGATGCTTGCTAGACAATGAGGAAAGATCCTGGAGATGCAGATGAGTATCTTCACATGCAGTTATGAGGGAGACGAGATGGCAGATGGCTGATCTCGCAGGCGGTGCAGAACATGGCAGAGAAGCGCCCACTAGGCACTAAACAAACCGATGAAAAAGAGAACACAGACGTATGAAGCACTTCTCGGACTGAACTAAGGACAAAGAAAATGTCTATCCCAGATGGAAAAATGATGGAGAGATAAATGCCAACCAGCACTGTAACCTGTGCTGTGGGCTAGACTGAGGGTGGAGAGTAAATACTTTCTTTTCTACTGCTGCTCCTATCTTAAGCTCCCCTCAGTCTGAGGGAACAGTCCCTGAGTCTGTTGGAAAGAGAGAGGACGCCAAGGAGTATCTTAGCATTGTTTCTGCCACTGTCAGAGCAGGAAGTCTGAAAATTTATGCTGAATGGAGAATGATGGCAAAAAGCCATCATTCACTTTTTATTAGATGCTCACTTTACCTAAGCCATAATCACCAAGACATTGTCTGAATGCTGGCCCACAATAACTGAGATGAGACATGAATGAGAAACTTGGCGTCTATTTTCCGGGTTGAAGGACAACCAGGTTAGACCGTTCTCTGCCCAGATGAGATTATTTTCCCCAAAGCTCATAAAGAGTGTTTCCTATACTCCCCCTTCAAGTCCAGATTTCGAGCTCAGCTCACAAGCTCCCTTATCAAATTCCTTTTTTTTTTAATGCATAAAGAACAGGGGTACAAGCCAGAGGTGCAGGGGAGGTGACAGGATTCACCAGAGACAGAGTGGGGTGCAGAACAGGCAGTGGGCGGGTCAGGAGAGGTCTGCTGCACCATGAAGGTCACCTCCCTGGCCGGGGGTGAAACTCATGAAGTGGCTGCATCTAGCTTCATAGTGCTGTGCTTTAACCTGTTGCGCCACCAGGGATTGCCCTACCAAATTATTTTCATCACCTTTGGGTACAAACTACTAACGCCTCTGGAGGCCACCATCCCATGCACCAGAGACCACCAACCTGGAGGTAAGGGCTGAGCTGCTCTCCCGGGCCTGGAGACAGCGATCTGTGGTAACAAAGCAGAGCAGTCAAACGCCAGGTTCAGGGTGCTTCCCAGGGAGCCCAGGGGTTCTCCAGGTTAGGAAAAAGGAAACTGGGTATGGGTGCGTGTACACACATACACCAGTGTAATTCCTTCTCCCTTAAGTAACCTGGGAATTCAGGAGGAGAAAGCCAGAGACGGCTTGACATACCAGTTAGAGTTAGGTCGAGTACATTTTCTGCACCAATTCCATTTTTCCCACATATTTCTACAAATCTTGCCTTGAGTTTAGAACTTGCATTTGGTTTTCGACCTATGAAAAGAGCAACAGCATCTTAGGTATTGGCCACTTGGGCTCATGAGAGAGATGGGGCTCCCGCGCTCCTGGATGAGGCAGGCACCTGCTGGTGTTTGCATGGGGCATAACTGTTTACATCTGACAGCATTAGGATGTCCTGCCAGCACAATGAGAGATTTACTCATCTGCCCCTCGCTGAGCCTGAGAGATACCAAGGGTGGCATCTGACTTCTGACAATGAGGGGCATCCCAGGGTAAAGAGAGGACCCCTGAGTCTTGCTCCCCTTCTCGCCTACACAATGATGAGTGTCAGAAGGAAATACTTTACCATAGAGCTCCATCGTTTGGAATGTTTTGCCATTGTTGCTATTAAAGAGATGAAACATGAGGTAGTTTATATAGTCTGTTTCAACTATATGAAATAGATTGTATCCATCATCTGTGGAGGAAACAGAACACAGCTCAGAATGTGCTTGGGCCCTGAGAGGCCAGGAGCCCTTACCTACTTTCCCTCATAGAAGAACCCAAGCACATAACCTGGAAGAGATTGAGGGGCGATACCTGTTCTATTTGTATCTTCTGGGTTTCAGAGAGGTAACTTCTAGAGGAAAATGATAGATTGACTACTGATGGCAGAAAAATTTAGCCACAGCTCAATCCACCTTTGCTCATCCTCCCTCAGACTCTCTACCTCTGTCACAACCTCTGTGAGACTTTGACTTTCACACACAAACTCCTCCCAACTTCAGGATATTGGTTATTAGATGATTCCCTTTATATTACCTACATAGGCATTAACCAGAATTGATCAAATTGCTGAAGATTCTGGAGCTTAGTAAATTTCTTGCAGCTGAAAATAGGTTCTAGTATACGAACTCCATTTGTATACTTACAGTCAAGGGAGAATTCACCGTTGTTTTCTGTCTTGTCACAAACCATAGGAATTTCAACACACACTCCATTTTCCCTGTGAAATCAGAAGGAAATGATGCCAGGAGGCCTGACAGGCGACCCTCACAGTCTATCCTACCTTGGATCTCTGGTTCCACTTAACTCTTGAATATTTTTTTTCATACAATTTGCAAAGAGCTCTCTCATAGTTCATTATTTCACTTGGTTTGATACTTTGACAGAGTCCATCACCTCTACTACCACTACTACTATAACAACTTGTCTTGAGATCATTAGCTGAGAGCTTCCCATGTGTAAAGCTCTCATAAGAGCTTTATAAGCATGACCTTACCTGGTCACAAAAACCATGAGTTATCACCCTCTTTTTCCCAAGAGAAAATTGGGGTGGAAAGAAATGAATTTTCTTGGCTATATAACCAGTCAAAGAGATTCAAGAGAGACAGGCTGTTGACTCCAAATCCTATGCTCTAGACCTATGCTGGACTGTCATGTGACATGATCCTCCTATAGTTCTATCCTTTATCGCCTCTATCCCACTCTAAATTTATTCCTGTTACCCATCTTCTCTCTGACTTTAGAAAAGTCCGAGCTTGAAGAAACGCTGGATGAGTACCAGATGGGAGCTCTGAGTTGGGATACACAGCCAGAAGGTGTGTATGTGTGTGTCTGTGTGTGGGCGTGAAGAGGCCCAGGGCCATCCCCAGTCTTCTACTGCACACTCCCCAGGTACAAATAGCCACACTTACTTTGCATGATAGACAAGGTACAGAGTACCATTTTGCCACACGTCCATGGTTTTCACAAAAACCCTCATGCTACCATTTTCAACAATCTTATCCTTCTGGTCGGAAGCCAAGAGAATGGAATACCAGTTCCCTGTAATCTGCAATACACAAGTGAAATAATTGGGTGAGAAGAGAGGAGGAAAGAGGATGTGGGGCCAGGGCTCAAATGATGTGAAGATGGAATGAAAACTCCAACAATGGAACCCCCTGAGGGCCCTTTCCACCGACTGCAGTGAGAACAGAAGTCGTCCAAGATTGTCATCTTTTAATGCAGAGCTCTTATCTTTAGTTCTGGGTCTGAAACCACCCCTTATATTTACTATGTGGAGGATTCCTGCTCCCCTGTAGGTCCAACTCATGTCAGAACTCCCCGAACCACCTCCCTGAAATGGAACATCACCAACTTCCACCAACTCTTACCCTTGAAAGATCAAAGTTGCTCGTCACAACCGGGTTTTTTGACTTCCGGGCAGAGACGAGGGTCAGCCCCAGACACAGCAGGAGCAGCAGCAGCAGCAGCCTCATCTCGTCAGGACAGCTCAGTCTCCACAGCCCTGGGGTGTGCCTTGCACTCCCTGTGCCTCAGTCTATATATCTGTGGGGTCTGGAGCTTTGCCGATGGCCACCACCCTTCCACCTCCCACTCTGTAAAATGACCTGTCTCCTCACTGGCAGGATCCCAAGGATTGTTCGTGCCCTTTTGAAATCTGGCATCTCTTTGCTTTTAGATCTACTTAGTGACCTTAAATTCTCAGGGTACATGAAAAAAAAAATACTGGATGCATTAAAGTGTGTCTGTCTGGAAGCACATTTGGACTGTGGATCTGACTTGGAACCAAAAAGTCCATTATGTTTGGCAGGAAGGAGTGTAGCCCAGATATAGAGGAGGGGGAGGGGATGGAAAGGGGTTTGTTCCCTACTCATATGGTGTATGGATTAGGTAAGTTACTCCAGAGCACTGCCTCAGAAACAGGACCTGTCTCTAGTACAGATGATCGTCCTACTACAAAAGATTAAAATAGGTTGAATAAAGTCATGTTGAATAAAATAATGTCTTAAAAGTAAGTATGGTGACTAGTGATCGGTACACTTTAATTGCCTCTGTGTTCTCGGAACTCCCCCCCCCACCCGTGACCTTCTGATTCCCCTCCGTGAGTGGTCGTGTTTGGTCACTCTGCAGCAGAAATCTACAGAGACAGGGAGCTGGGTGTGCGGTCAGCCTCATTCTACGATCACATGAAATAGCTTACTTGGGCTAAGTCTAGATCTTTGTGGGTTAGAAGAACAGGTGATGCTAAGGAATGCGCCACCCCCACCCCCACCCCCCAGTCTTCCCCAGATCTCTGTAATGTCCATGCCTGGATCTGTTCTGGCTCTTCTAGAGATGAAAGGAAAATCATAACATTTTTGATGAGTAGCTTGGAATGCAGTGGAAGGAGGCTGAAGTTGGTGAAGAGTGGGAGATCAGTGCATTTCGGTCAATCCTGTTCTGCTTCCCCCTCTGTCTCCGGTGAATCCTCTCACCCCTGGCACCTCTGGCCTGTACCTAGTTCTTGTATGCATGAGTAAATAAATTTTTTAAAAAATCTATAGAGAGGAAATGATCAGATAATTGCGGGCTTAATTGGATTGGCTCTAAGGTACAATTCAATGAAAGGTTTTAAACAAGTAAAGGACATGTTCAGATTTGAGTATCCAAAAAAATCACACTTACTGCTGTGAGCTAGCATGGAACGAGATGGGTCAAGAGAGGGCACTCTAGTGAGTATCCTTGTGCATTTAATTTGGTGTGTCTGTATTCCTGATATCCAGATTCCTAGAACAGAACTTCTTGATCAAGAATTAAGCACATACCCCCAGATACCTATTCAAGTTACTTTAATATCACCTCCTTGGAGTAGGGCCTTCTATGACCTTACTGTCTCAGGTCTTCTTTATTGGTACTTCTATTTCTCTTGGCACTAATAATGCTGGATATGGTCTTGTGTTTGTTTACTTTTACAAAGTAAAAGTGAATTTTCACCTGCCTTTCCAATGGAGATTGGACCTTTTCTTATTCCCCACCATACTCAGTGCCTAGGCTAGTGCCTGGCATAGTAGATACTAAATGAAGATTGTTTGAAAAAATAATTACCCTCCAAAAGCCTGCACAAAGTTGTACTTTCAGCAACATCATGTCAATTTTCAAACTTCAGATGTTAATCTTAAAGCCAGCTTAAGGTGCAAAAACAATGCAGTCACAGGCCCGGTCAGGTTCTCCTCCGTTAACGCCAGTTCATTCACTCCAGTGGAGACCTGATAAGATACAACTGAAAAAGAAAATGTTCCTTGAGAAAACAGGAGTGTCATTATGAAGCCCTGTCTGATTGCCTGGATATAACCAGAAACCTCCCTAAATACAAGGTCAGAATGAATCTAGGTGGATTCCTTCCCAGCAGAGTAAAACGGAAAGGCCGACGGCCATCTCAAAGAATGAATGAGATCAGCTGTTTGTCACAGGGAGTGCAGGGAATGAATGCCACAGTTCTTCACAGCAAATGTTTCAGACATTCACCAACAAAACAGATCCCTCTAGAGAGGATGTGTGTTTCAGGTAAGCAAAGAACTGACTGTCTAGAGCCACCAAGTTCCTAGGTCAGTTTTCCTGCAATGTCCTGCCAAGTTGTGGATACTCTACCCCTCTTTGAGTGTTTGCCTGACTGATGCCACCACAATCAAAGGTCCAAGCGCCCCAGGCTGTCTTCGTGACTCCTGCTCCACAACCCAAAGGTGAGAGCTCACACCACTGACCTTTAAAAGCTGGGATGCTTTGCCAGGGCTCCGGCAAGGGTCTGCAAGCCCAGAGCGTCACCCCCAACCAAGTAACCGACCTCTCCAGCCTCCATCTCCACCTTTCTTACTGGCTACGGCCACCCGGCCAATCCACATTCACTCCCCTGCCACCAGGGTGGAGGAGAGTCGGGAGCTGAAGACCCTCTCCTTGGCCCATCGGGAGCTAGAGTTAGGGAACAAACTCACCAGCTCCACTGGGAAAGGGATGCACCATACGGAATGCCCAAACCAGGAAGTACACGTTGCCCGCAGCCGCCCAAACTACATTTCCCAGCATGCTCTGCAAAGCGAGCTCAGGCGATGCTTGGGAGTTTCCAGGTTTGCTTTGCTTGCCTCCTTCATATTACTCTATAAGGATCCAATACTTTATTTAATCAGTTAGCTAGCAATTTCTCTGTTTTCTGACAACATAGTACATCTTGATTATATGTCATAGGATATATAATCCTACTCCTAGAAGGATTGCCATTTTGTGGCTTGATGCATACAGATTTATGTTTGAATAGGATGTTGAACAATGTTGACTACCAAGACTTTATTTTTTAACTTCTCTTAATTATATTTAAAATCTTGATTTGGTTTTTCAAATCCTGTTTTTTTTTTTCCTTTATACAAAGCACAGCAATTTAGACTCTGGAAAATATATTGGGGACAGCAAGAGAGGGATGGGGGGAGGGAAAAGGGCATGGTACTGCAGTTTTGGTGTAGGGTGAGTGAAGTATGGAACGTATGGAGGTATGACGTACTCCCAAAATTAGATAGTTATATAAACAGTAGGCAGCTCAGTACAACTGAGTAAACTGTGTTTTAACAAGTCCTTCAGGCAATTTTAAGCACACTAAAGTTTGAGTATCATCGATTTAGACTATATTTCTATTCCTTTTGTTGTTCATCTACAACAATTTTTAGACATTTCCTCACTCATTAATAACTTTTAATCATTTTTCACAGCACAGGATAACTTTTAGCATTCATTTCAACTGTTCATTAACACCTGTATTGTTGACTGTTTCAGCCTGGCACAATTCCAGCCTGGCCAAGAATGCAACTGTTTTATCCTTTTAAAAAGTAAAGAACTTATACAGTTTTGGACAGTGAATTGCATTCTGTGCAGTATCAGACTTTCACTTGGTAATGCACTATGGATTGATTTTCATGCTGTATTTTATTTGCCTGAGCAATAAAATTGACTTGAAAATAAGGGCACAAATCCATGAGTTAATCTACGCACACACACACAATCTCTCTCTCCATTCTCAATATCTACATGTTTTTGTTTCTTTAAAATAAGAGAATTGAAAATCATAAGGAAAGCAGGAACTTGCGTGCGAAATAGTTGCAGAGATGACATTTAGCCACATATTTGCTTGTGCCCATTATTACGCTAGATTAATATTTAGGTTCAATATTTATTGAGCAAATCTGAATTTGACTAGACAAGTCTTACTCAAATGTTTACCCTGACCAACAAATGAAGTAATGTAGTAAGTGTGCTGTGAAAATGTAAAAGGTAAAACATACACCAAACATTATTCTTACCTTGTATAACAAAGCCACGTATACAAGTTATCCGCCTGTAACATTTTAGTGTAACAATTAATATTTAAAAATAGTTCAGGTGTATTTTATCATGACTCAAAAGTAAAATAAAAAATGTAGCTAGGCAATGGAAAATATGTCCCTGTGCCAACCCAAATCAACTCAGTCTTTCCAGATGCATGTGTAAGAATTATTCTGAGACCATGTCTAGAAAGAGTTCACTAAGACCTACTAAGAAAGAGCGTACTGATTCATTAACCATCAGGCAAGAACAAGGAGTAGTGGTGTTTGTTTCAGTGCATTTGAAAACCCAGATAGAGGCATTTGTGTGAGGCTCTAGAAAATGAGATAAAATGTAGTGACTGTTCAGAAAATCACTTTGAGGCAGACAGAAGAAGAGTACTAGGCTTTAGATGTAATTCATTATTTTAATGAAAGAACTTGTGTTTGCTAGGAAAAATTTTTGTGAATTCAGTATAAAAGTTAATACTACATACTTTAATTCAGCATCATTCATGAATAGGCATAGAAACATCTTTTCAAACATCATAGAGTGACTCAGTGAAATTTTAGGGTTGGCTTATGAGCTTTAAAAGGATTTTATATTGTGAAAAATGCATGTCTATGCTAAAATAAGTCACAGTATATAAAATAAAAAGGGGTTCTCCCTCTCATCCTGGACCCCACTTCTTGTACTCCTATGTCTAACTGCTACCACTATTAAACTTTTCAGTATTTTTTTCAAATGAAGTTAGACGCATACAAATAGAGACAAAGGAGATAGGCAAACACACACATATCTGTATACAAGACGGAACATACTATTGATATATATACATGATTCAGCAAACTATTTTTTCACTTAATAATTGGACATTATTTCCTACCAACAGTATGTATCCTGAGGTGTTCCTTTAATTTGATTTTAGTTTTGTTAACATTTTCCCATAAATTGTAACCCTCTTATAAAATTTTATGCTGATGCAGAAGCTAACAAACATATAAGAGGAGAATGATAACATCAAAGCTGAGACTCACTCAGTGGCCATACACAATTACAATGTCAACAACCAGATGTGTAACTTCAGTTCTCATATGTGTGATTAAGAAACAACACCCAGACAGCTCAGGAATTATTAGCACATGTAATTTGTTTCTCTACTGCTCTGATTATTCACCTTATTCACAGATTTTTAAAGGCCTGATATTTCAACCTGAACATATGGGTCACTTACAATAATTGAATATTGTTAGAACATTTTCTATAAAAGGTTGTACATCAAATTTAAACTCTCCATACAATGCTTCCATGTACAGATTCACTTTCAAATTATTTCATGTATAATGAGATGTGATTAATTGTTAAAGACATCCTAATAGCCATTACATTCAGAACATTTCTGAGATTAAATAAATACCTTCAGTTCAAAGAAACTACTTCTCCCCTTAATTTTACTCATGAGATTTCACTGAATGAGTTTTCACATGCTTGGTAAGAGATGCATTTTGTTTGAATGCTTTCCCACATTCACTGCATTCATAGGGTTTCTCTCCAGTGTGGGATCTCTGATGTATAACAAGTTGTGATTTTGCATTAAAGGCTTTTCCACATTCGTTACATTCATAGGGTTTCTCCCCAGTGTGAGTTCTCTGATGTACAATGAGATGTGACTTTTGACTAAAGGCTTTTCCACATTCATTACATTCATAGGGTTTTTCCCCAGTATGAACTCTTTGATGTTGAGTGAGGCCTTCAATTTGTTTGAAGGCCTTACCACACTGACTGCATTCAAAAGGACTTTCACCTGTATGAGTTCTCATGTGGTAAGTAAGAGATGAGCTATGTCCAAAGGCTTTTCCACATTCACTACACTTATAAGGTTTCTCTTTAGTATGAGTTCTTTGATGTATAATCAGGTGTGACTTCTTGCTGAAAGCTTTCCCACATTCATTACACTGGAATGGTTTCTCACCTGTATGAATTCTCATATGTTTAGTGAGGGATGAGCTATACTTAAAGGCTTTTCCACATTCATTACATTCATATGGTATTTCTCCTGTATGAGTTCTCACATGCTCAGTAAGAGAAGAGTTATACCTAAAGGATTTTCCACATTCTTTACATTCATAGGGCTTCTCACCTGTATGAGATCTCACATGTTGAATAAGGTTTGAGCTGTGTCTGAAGGTTTTCCCACATTCGGTACATTTATAGGGTTTTTCCCCAGTATGAACTCTTAGGTGGTCAGTGAGGGCATGTTTATGACTATGGGCTTTGCCACACTGAATACATTCATATGGTTTTTCTCCAGTGTGAGTTCTCTGATGTACAACAAGGTGTGACTTCTGACTAAAGGCTATCCCACATTCATTACATTCATATGGTTTCTCCCCAGTGTGAATTCTCTGGTGATCAATGAGTCCTTGCTTATGGCTGAGAACTTTCCCACATTCATTACATTCATAAGGTTTCACTTTAGCTTGAGTTTTAACACACTTAGTAGGAGATGAGCTCTGGTTTGATGACTTCTCTTGTTTTTTTCCAGTTTGAATTCTGTCCACCTTAGCATGGGAGGAGCTATGATGAATGAATTGTTCACGTTTCCTGCCAGTTTGAGTTTTTTCTTTCTTTATGTCAGATAAGCTATGGCTAAGTGATTTCCTGTGTTCTTTTGTTATATCAGTTTTCTTTTTTGCATAGATTTTTTTATGGCCAGGTAAATCTAAATTCTGTTTCAAGCTCTTCCCTGGTGAATCAAATTTGAGTAGCTTTTTTTTTGAAGGAACATGTTTTGTGCTTGTATGTTTTTTCCCCATTGGACTATATTCATGGCCTTTCTTCTTAGTGAGAGTTTTTTTCTTGAATGCAACTTCCCTACAGAGTTTGCTTTGACATTTCTGGTGACTTTCTAGTTGGTTGTTATCTTGCTGGACTTGTTCTAGAAAGGAATTCAATAAGACACACTTGTGAATCTTTGTACTTTTGTTTGGGAGGAAAGTTTTGGTGTTGAATTCAAACTTAGTATCCCATAGTGAATGAAATACCAGTACAAATCTCCCTATCCTCTTTACTTGGGGTGAAAGTGCTATAGTAAAAACAGGAAAAAATAGTGATTAGACATAGTTTTTAACTCTAAATACAACTTTGCAACCTGGGATAGAAGAAAAAATAAACATGAATAGCAAATAGGTGACGTTAAATAAGCTTGTGATTATATTAACAGTTGATGCTTTTTAGGTATACAATATTGTGATTTACAGAAAAAATACACACACACACACACACACATATTTGGTCATTCAGATGACCAAAACTTACACGAGCTATGCAACCTCTGTCATCAGACAGGATCCGGATGGAGGGGAATTGCTCTGAAAAATCAGACTTTCCACGCTAACTTATGTTATGACCTCCCTTTTTTGTATAACCGTAATATCAAAATATTCTGAGCAACTTTCAGCTTACAATTGGACTGCCTTGGCTGCACAAGGCCTGCCTGCCTTGACAAGCAAGCACTGCACAAGGGTGAAAAAATTCCCCTGAAGTCAAGTGACTTGACTACTGACTGATTAAAAGCAAAAGGGCTGTTTTTGCAAAGTCTCACTGCCGGAGGGAGGATAACCCAAATCTTATCATTCTATTATCTCACCTAGCCTACTATTCAGCTTTTTAAGAATTACTCAAACTTCCTATTGTTTGGCCTTTGATGTGGAAATTCATCCAGGTTGCCTGTTTTTAAACTAATCAAGTTTTCCACCTGCTACACCTTAAAGGAATCCACAAAAGTCTTCTGGCTAGTTTTTCAGGATTCTACTATGTAGTCTTTAGATAAAGAAATCCACCTATGTCTCCTATTCAGAGATTTGATTAGCAAGGAATTTCCTCTTCTGTCTCCCAGGATGATTCAGGCAGAAAAACAAAAACCCATTAAGTAGTAGATAAGGTTTAAGGGACTTCTATCTTAGTTGATCTCCACTATAGTAATATTAGTCATAAACTTTGTGCACCTATGTACTTGTTTTTAACCTTGATTGATTTTGGAATGTTATATCTCAGCTAAAGGGCAATACGACCGACCATAAACTGTTCTTAGGGAAAACAAAGATGATTGTAATCTCTCAGCCCAGTTCCTGTGCTGATATCATCCCACTACTTACTCCTAATGTATAAAAATAAACCTCTGCTGAAGGCAAAGCAGGAAGACTTGCACCCAACTCTGACTCCCGTGTCTTCCTCGCTCCCCTTTCCCCTTTTTCTCCCTTTCCCCCTTTTTTAGGAATCTCCACTTGCCGACACCTTCCCACCTTAGGGTTCTGCCTGTCTTGCCTCCAGACACCTCAATAGTTGGAGCTGGTCTCTGACACAAAACATATTTTTCTTTATCTGCAGTTCCTAACAGCTCATGATAGCCTTGGAATTTCTTAAGTGTAAGGGGTAGTAAAGGTTTCTCTTGTTTTATTAATGAGTTGGTTTTGGGGGAAATACCTGAGGATGGGAGTTGCTTACTAGGGGAACCAATGTGATTAGAGGGCAGAACTGGTCTCCTGAGAGAGGAGAGGGGGTAGAGGCTGAGTTAAATTGCCTGTGGCCATTGAGTTAGTCAACCATCCCAATGGGAAGACATCACCATAGAAACCAAAAAGGAAGGGTTTTGGAGAGCTTTCAGGTTGGTAAATATGCAAATATTTGGGAAGAATGGTAATCCTGAAGAGGGTATATAAGTTCTTTGCCTTTTCCTCATACCTTGCTCTCTTGAAAGCTGAACAATGGAGAGTGTGAGGAAAAACAGCCATAAAGAAGGGTTGGTTAGACATTGGAGGGGCTGGTACCAAAGGTTTGTAGTCCTGGTGTTCACTTTTTTCCAACCATAACTGGGGTGGTGTGGAACACAACAGTGTATTATTTCCTGTGGGAAAATTATACCTCCCAACCTTGTTGCATTGTCTTTGAATCCTCCCTGTGGAAAGATTATATGTTAATACCTCTTTTGATCTCAGAAACAAGCAGGTGATCTGCCCTAACCAGCAGAATGTGAGCAGAACAAGACCACTTCCAATCAGTGATTTTAAAAGTTATCATGGTCAATCCACCCATTCATTCTTCTTTCCTATGTCTTGAGACCAGAATTTGCCAAATAGGCACTTTTTGTTCATTATATATAGATTGCCAAATGAAGATAATGTGGAATAGGGTTGAAGTCTGAGTGAGACATAAATCTTCCTAGTTATAAGTCACTAAGATGTTGGAACCAGTCCTTACTGGAGCATAACTTAGCCTAAGCTGACTGATACAAGTGTTATAATCAAATTCCCATAAATTAGATGACTTACAACCATTGTGAAGCTCTGACCTTGTGGATAGATTTCTTAAAAATTCATTTGTACACAGAGTCACAGGTGGAATAGACATAAGAATTCCAAGGTCAGAGAATCTTTGGAGATTGACCTTCTCTTCCTCGAGGAGATTCTGACAGTTTTCTACTGCTACGTCTTATTAAGAAAGAAATGTCTGAGATCTTTTGGAGTAATTTAAGAATAAATTATTCTTTAAAGAATTCCAGATTTGCAACCAAAAAACTAGGGACTTACTTCCACTGGTTTCTATTTGCTTGGGTGTTGCTATTTCACTTGGATCACCTTGACCTTGACTAGACCTTTTCTTCTTCCCCAACCATGGATCTTCTCCTTTTTCCAACTTGGAGATCATGTCTGGTTTGGGAGTTTCATATCCTGCCCAGAGATATGGTAGAAATAAAGTATTAGAACAACAGCCATCCCAGAAATCAAGCTTTAATTTCAGCATCAGAGCCTGTAAAGGACAGACAATACATTGCTTCTGAAAATTCATAATGCAGATACCTATGAACCTCATCTGTGCTCTCCTTCCATTTTGGAGGCAGGGGCACAAATTTCTAGCCTAATGCCAAAAAGGTATATAACTCTTTGATCTGTAAAAATCATAAAACCCTTAAAAATCAAGATCAGACTGATCAAAGACTTCAGAGAGAAGGTATGAACGAATTGTGAACTCTAAAGGAACCCTTACCCATTGAGGCTAGGCTGCTGTAGTTCTCCAGCATCACATCCTTGTACAGGTTCTTCTGAGCCGGATCTAGTTGCTCCCACTCCCTCTGGGTAAAGGCCATCGTCACATCTCTGAATGTTACCAATCCCTGTAACATCATGTTCCTGTTCAGTCTAATGTCATTCACATTAGTGAGTGATTTGGACAAAATAATAGCAACTTGTTCTTACTGTGACCACTCATTGTTGATCATACAAATATGATCTGTATGTAGAATGTCTTTAGGCAACTTTGCAAACTTTTTGAGAAATTAAGAATCATGTTCAGAAACATCCCTGTTGTGCATTGAATGCTTTCAGCCCCCACAATTCACATGTTGAAACCCTAACTTCCCTAGTGATGGTAGCATGATACAGGACATTTGGGAGGTCAAGAGGATTAGTTGGGTCATGCGGGTTAGCCCTCGTGGTCAGTGGCCAGGAGTTATGGTAGAGCTTTGTTTCTCTATTCTTTCTGCCCAATAAGGATACAATGAGAAGTCTGCTTTCCCAGGAACAGGACTCTCGTTAGAACCCGAATATTCTAGCACCCTGATCTTGGACTTCCAGCCTTCCAGTCAGACATAAATTTCTTTTGTAATAATAATCCACTCATTCTCTGGCTTATTCCATAATCCCAAATTAACTAAGACAGTCCCTATCATTAATGTGTTTATTCAAGAGTATTAAAAAACATACAAATATCAAAGAGAAAGAAAACTAACCAAGAAAAAATAAACAGAACCAGTCTTTGCCTTTTCTTCTGTAATAATGAAAGCTAAAGACTAAATACAAACTGTGTTCTTCAGCAGAATTGAGACATTTGGTTTTTATAATCATTCAAAAAATCACTTATGTTCGGAAGCAAAAGTAAGGTGTGTTAGGTATGTAAGGATGCAGAAAGAATATTACCTGCAAAATTTAGAAATAAAAAAGAGGGAGAGATGGGGAAACCAGAGAAAGGGAGAAGAGGAGTAAAAGGAGAAGAAAAGGAATGATTTTTTAAAAGAAGGAAAATTGGATAAGAAAAAAAAAGATTTCAAGGTTGGGAAATATTTAAAAATATATAAGAGCTTATGGATATATAAGAGCTATGATAATAAAACCAATAAAATGTCTAGTTGCATCTAAGTATAATAATGTTATTGTGGAACTGTAACAAAAAAGTATCCTTAAAAATCAAGAGGTATATTGTAAGAAAAGTTTCCAAGTTGGAAAAAGGAAAAGATCCATGGTTGGGGAAGAAGTCCTAGTCAAGGTCAAGGTGACTCAAGTGATATAACTGGGAGTGGGTTAGGGATGGCGGAGAAATTCAAGCATGTTAAAGTGCTTTTATTAGGCAGGCCAGAGAAGAATGACACAGACACTGGACAATTTTTATATTAATAAACATGCATCCAAATATTTGTTTTAACATAAGAGGTTAACCATTTCCCCCACACACACACGCACACCAACCAATTAGCTACATATGTCACAGATCGCTAACCTCACCGACCTCCAGCCACTGACTCCTGATAACCCCATCACTGAGCGCCACTGGTCTCCCACCACTTAGCCCCACAGCCCTCCCTAACCACTGAGCATATGAGTCCAAAATGGCTGATCCCAACAAAGCTCCAGCCACATCAGCAACAGTCTCTCCAATTACTTGGCCCCTCAGACTCTCCATTCGCATAGTCCCACAGGTTCCTCAAGTGCCTCCTTCAGTGCAAACTTGAGCCCCAGCTTCCACCTCCCTCAGTTTCTTTCAAGAGCTCTACATCCATGTACAAGAGCCACCCCACACCCTGGCTCGTCTCTCTCCCAGAGATCCAGCACTCTCTTTCCCTGCCCAGACACAGCCACCTGCTCCATCAGTCTCCCCTTCTTTGGTCCTTGGCATCCCTGAACCACCTCCCAAATCTCTGCTTAAACATGCCACCCTCTGACCGTCATTTCCTACCCTGCAGTTCACCTTCTCTAGTACCTCCATTTAGCCTTAATTTTCTATCTTGCTTGGATTCTCTGTTCTAGCACCATAGACACTGAACTGAAAACCTTGTCTCTCTTCTGTTTTACGTTTCAACCTTGGTTAAACCTTAATCTCCTGGGGCCTCCCTGGTGGTGCAACAGGTTAAAGTGCAGCACTACAAGCTAGCCACAGCCCCAGAGGTGATCCACATGGCTGACAGATCTCTCCTGACCTGCCCACCTGCTTCTCCCCTCAGCAGTATACTTCATCGATCTGCCTGTTCTGTCCTCCACTCTCACCTGTACCCCAGTTCTGTATGTATAAATAATAAATCTTTAAAAAAAAAATCTCCCCCCCCAAAAAAAAACACCCCAGTCTCTTCTGGGCCCTCCTGGTGATGCAACAGGTTAAAGTGCAGCACTCTGAAGCTGTCCACAGCCACTGTTGCACAAGTTGGATCCAGGGCCAGGGAGGTGACCACATGGCGTGGCAGACCTCTCCTGACCCGCCTGCTGCTCCCCTCAGCAGTGTGTTTCAGTGGATCTGCCTGTTCTGCTCCCCGCTCTGTCTCCGATGAATTTTCTCACCATTCCCACCCCCACATATCTGGCCTGTACCCCAGTTTGTCATGCATAAATAAATCTTTTAAAAACAACAACAAAAACTGTAGTCTCCTCTTAAGCTCTGCCTGCAATCTTTTTTTTTTTTTTTTAAAGATTTATTTATTTATTCGTACAGAACTGGGGTACAGGCCAGAGATGTGGAGGGTGAGAGGATTCACCAGAGACAGAGCGGGGAGCAGAACAGGCAGATCTACGAAGTACACTGCTGAAGGGAGCAGCGGGCGGGTCAGGAGAGGTCTGCCACGCCATGTGGTCTCCTCCGGGGCAGGCAGGAATCGAACTCATGCAGAAGTGGCTTAAGGTTCTTTGTGCCGTGCTTTAACCCGCTGCGCCACCAGGGAGGGCCCCTCTGCCTGCAATCTTACACTGAACATTACAAGGGAAAAATTAAATTGTGCTGTGTGGCCTCACTTCAGGCTTTTACCCCATATCTCAAGTAAGCATCCTAACACTCACCCCATTCCTCTTTCCTAGGTGATCACTTAAAACCTCTCCTCTTTCCCGCTGAATTCTCTATCCTGAATTCTTTTCCCACTCTGCTAAAATAAATGCAAACAGATGACTTGACCTGTCCCACATCTACCACCAACCTGTTTCCAAACCCACACTGTCTTTCTTTTTGTTAAGACTGAGAAAGTGTCCCTTCTCTCGCCAGAGGGCAGTTCTCCCCTGGTGCTCAGATCTCACCCCCAACTGCCTTTTCACGGTCTTTACCCGTGCAAGGACTTGACCTCTTTCTCTTCTGTGCCTTCTATTTCTCCCTTTTCTAATGGATCATTCCCAGTAACAAAATTGCCTTAATATTTATCTGAAGAAAACCCTCTCTTGATTCCATGCCCCATCCAATGTTGATTTCTCTGCTCCCTTCAACAAAATTCCTGTTACCTACATCTGCTGTCTCTGCTTTGTTACTCTTTATCCTTTCAAAGCTTAACAACCGGAGTTCACCCCTACCACTCTCCTGATAAAGCTCTAATCAATAAAAATAAACACTGAGCTACATCACACCAAAGTGAAATTTTCTGTAGTCACAGTGCTGGAACTCACAAGAATATGATAGCTCCACTGTATTGAAAACCATGTATCTCGAAGCTTCTTTCTCACCACACTGGCATAATTAGCCTCTACTTCATAATTACCCCCTCATCGTTTCATTTTCTGCTCTGTACCAGACCTCTAAAATGTCAGGCTGACCCTCAACCATCCTTGGCCCTTCTCTTCCTGTTTTGCCTTCCTTCTCTGGGTGGTAGCATCCACTTTTACCACCTTCATGCGGGTGTCTTTCAAATACGGATTCCCTAGTCCAGACCTTTCTAAGGACCAGAGTCATATCTCTAATGACTATGCAACATCTCTGCTTGGATGGGTAATGGCAACCTTGACATGGCCAAAATAGACCTGTGTTCTGGCTCTCAATTTTCATCCATCCAATCTGTTCTTCTTCAATACTAACCTTTCTCAGAAAGTAGAATTACCATCTACCCAGTTCCTCAGGCCAAATCTTGATTCTCCTCTTCCCTCGTGTTCCATTTCAATTTATTAGTAAGACCTAATGGTTCATCTCCAGATGTATTATAAATCAGATTTCTTTTCACGTCAGGCATTGCTACCACCCAGTTCTAAACCATCCCCGCCTGTTGCCCTTGATTATTGCAATAACATCCTAACTGATGTCTCAACCTCAGAGACAGAGACAATCCAGTCTCTAACCACCTAGCAGCCATACTCACCTGTTCCCATAGACATCCCAACTTGCCAACTGCCCTAGATTTTCGAAATCTCTGATCCACCACAAAGCACCCATATCTGATCCCATAGCCTGCTGGCTCAGTGACAGTCATAATCCCCCACATACCGCAGTTGCTTCAAAACACGGGTTTTCTTCAATGGTAGTAGCACTCACTGACCCCCACAGACGCCCCTCCTCACCACTCCTCAGGCCCCTCAGAACGCAGCCTCCCCACCAAGGCCCTCCCGCTGAACTCCACCAATTTCCAAGTCAACTATCTTCCCAGAATGCTGTGACCCTCCAATCACTGATCCCAATTAGACCATCTGTGACCACCCGACCCCCCCC